CTCGCAGGCGCTGCTGCGGTGCCAGTAACACCATAAATCACTGGCCTTTGCCTGCTCGTGCAGCCACTGGAGGGAGGTGATGGGGCCGGTGACTCAGGTCCCTGCTGCCAGCCAGCCAGCCAGTCTCCAGCCCAGATTAGATTTTCTCCAGACAATGCTCCTGTGCTGCCTGGGCAGGGAAGCGGCTGCGATAAGGGCCAGGCACAGGTGGACATTCACCTCTGCTCGGCGTCCCACCCTCTTTGGGGAGAGGTCGTTTTGGTGGGCTGCTTGGGAAGAAATCAGAAAAGAAACATGGGAGAGTACGTCTGACTGCTGAAAACAGGTGATCTGACAGAAAAACATCCAGTAGCTTCATACAAAAACCTGGATAACCCTTAGCCACATTCGCCTCTGGTGCTATCAAATCAGATTAATCAGTCAGGAAAACACACTATTAAAAAAAAAAAGTGGTAAAAAGGGGGGGTGTGGATGGAATTTACTCTGAAGAGAGAAAATGCCTGTTTAAATACCACCCTTTCTCAACAGGACACACCATTTACATGTCAGGTTTTATAACACTGAACACCCAGTGATATTGGAATGTGTCTACCTGGCTCCAGCTTTTATACTAACAGAAGCCTTCCCATACAGGCAAGATTTGCCAATACACCAAACTACACCGTTAGAAAGGCCCCAGAGGTATCCGAGAATTGTTCGGTGTGGAATTAGCAGATCCAGTTTCCCAAGTCTGGCTATGTGCAACAAGGCTCCTTTCATTTCTCTGAGAAGTGAGGAAGGAATGATCAGCATGTCTCAGCAGAAGAATTTATTTTAGGCCTTTGTTATCGATAAATTACCCAATTTACTTAAAAAAAAGCACCAACGTGCTCCCTTTGCCCATGTACTTTGGGTTTTGAGTTCTTACACCAATGAAAATAAACTCCAAGAGCCTGACCCACCACTCACTGGTTTCTACTGGTTTCCTGACCCGAAATGGCTCTGCACGTGGCTGAAACCCAGTGAATGCCAGCACAGGCAAGTGCTCAGAGCTGAGGACAGGAGGGTGACAGGAGTGACGTGTTTCATCAGTTTACACTTGACATGCAGGCAGCCTCACATACATGGAAGTTTTGCTTTTGTCAAATTAGCATTTTTCATTTTAAATTAAGATGAAAACATGTTTTTGCATCTGGCATCAGCCTCCAGACTAAGTGACTGGAAGAGAAGAAAATTTTGTAGTAAAACATTCAAGTTGCTCCTATTTTTAGTTTAAAAGTCTTTTTACATTCCAAACTGAAGCATTTTGTCCTACCTTCACCTCTGTTCGTAACTCAAGGCACATTTTTCTGAGGAGCTGAGAACCTTATAAGGTTTTTAAAAAAGGAATTAGTGAAATTCAACATCATTACTTGAGATACTTGCTTCAATTAAAAGCTAATATCTGGCTCAAAAAATGGAAGAAGTCCAAGACAGATACTTTACAGCATTCTCATTTTCTTCTTCAACCAATCACCAAGCACTGGGGTAGGAAAGGGAAGACCCATAAGCAATCAGCAGAACAAACGAGTCACAGATTTAAGGTTTTTCTCTTTGGAAGTCCACACATGCAAGGTGTTCTAAGCTCTGCCCTAGACACCCAAATGCAGCAGTCTGAACACAGTACTCAGAATGGGAAGTCAGAAGAAAAACACAAACAAAACTCAGGTGAAATTTAACTTTTATTTTTCTGTTGATAAAACCCAAAGATCCCTCACAGCAGCAATAGATGCAGAAGTTATCTGCAGAACTGATACCTCCTCTTAATCTGTTTGCATACCCAAGTATGCCAAGAGTGAAGGGACTGCATATTAACAGTACAGGCACTGCTCAGTAGTAACAGAGATCAAGTTTCTTGGCATATTTTAACCCATCCGTTCCTTATCACAGGGTTTTCATAGAATTAAAGATGACTCTTAATGAGTTGTCTATTAGATTTTTGTAGCTGTAGCAATTTAAAAAGTCTTTATTAAATTCTACAGTTTATATGCCAGCGAACACCCCCCCACATTTTGTAGTGTTTGACAAACTGTATCCAAATGCTACAATTCAGAATGAAAATGTTACTGCATTTAGCATCTCTAGCTGCCCTAGAGTAAATATTTCCATAGAGTAACAAAACACACCTCTTTGCTCAGCAACACAAGGGATACAGGTTTTTAAACATACATTTCTATCTTGTATCCATACCTTTCATATAGATATATTTATATAGAACTCTAAAACAAATCTCTACTATATTACAATTAAATTAAAACACATCCACAATTGGTCTAACTAGTTATTTTGGTCTCAATACTTTAAACATTAGTTGTTCCATAAAAATATACAATTCAACAACATGGCTGTATCAGTGCCATGAGGCCTTTTGAAAGAGGCCTATGACACCACCAACCACGCAGTACAGTGCTCAATGTCATCTAACTGATAAATACTTATACTGCATTTTCAAACTATCAGTATCTTTAAAATCCAAGTTTCTCTTCAGAGGCTTACCATGCTGAAAAACATGCAGAAAGCAATCACATTTCTCACTTGCCTGTAGCAATTTTTTTTTTTCTTTTCCAATTGATCACCTGACAAAGCACAAGCATTTTTAGATGCTAACCTTTTCCTTCCTTTCACATACTGCATTATTCCACAATGGATCATACTGCTCTGTGTGAAAGCCCAGGGATTAGCCACATAGTAAGAACTGCCCTTTTCAGTTCAAGCTTCTAAGAATCAAATTACTAACAGTCAATTAGGATGCACTCATAGCTGCCATAGAAGTGAACAGACACTCAGTAGACAGTCAAGTTAATTCTAGATATACACCAAAAGGTGAAGCTTAAAAACAAAACCAAACCCCCAAACCTAAATGACACAGGCAGAGACTCAAGCATGGCAGATTCCAAGAAGTGAACCTCTGTCCACAAATCTTCCTCCAAAGAGCACACAAAAAACCTGTCAACCACACTTGAGCTCAGAGATGAGTCACTCAGAGCTGGAGATCTCCTCCTCCCACCACTGCACCACTCCACACCAGGCTCTGCAGCCGTGGGGATGCAGTACTTCTGCAGCACAAACCAGCATCTTCCAGCTCAGAAGCAGTAAGTAATAAAACCCCAGACCAGTTCCCAGGTCATGGTAACCTGGCACATAAGCCTCAGAACATTTTACTCTTATAAACGTAATAATAATTTAGGTACTAACTATTCCAAGACCAATACGGTCTGTAGATAAAACTACAACAGAACATACTGAAAACACAAGAGAGGCATGACAATTAAGATGAATATTTCTTTTAAACAGCAGAAAGTCAGGGAAATATCTGGAGTTCGTTTGCACTGCATTAATAGATCTTGTTTCTGAATATAAAAATACATCTAAAGAGTCAATCCAGAACTGTAAACACAATTAGATTTTTCCCCTTCACCGCTTTAAAATTAGTACAAAATAATATGTTACAGGAATGATTGTTGCAAATTTGTAAATGTCAGCTATTACAAAATCATTATATGAGAACACCAACTGTAAATTATTTACAGGTGAGGTAATACAATTTCCAGAGAAACGAATTGCAATTTAGCAGAAGTGTAAAAATAATGTACTCACCAAAACATTATAAAACCTGGTATTATCAGCTACACAGTAGATCATGATTAGGTTTTGTAGTTGATATACAACATATTCTTAAGAAAAGTGCCAAAATACTGCTACATAAGAATCTTCTTTTCCAAAATCATCCAGCAAAACCCCAGATTCTAAGTTAAGTAATACCAAAAGAAAATAGGAAGAAAAGGGATGCCAATAGTACAAGTGTGTCCTATTAAATGCCTTTGAAAAAACCTGTAAATTCACTTTCATGCTTAAAGGTCTGACATGAAAGACACTTATTTTAAAAAAATCAATAGAAATACCAACACCTATGCTCTTTGAGGGTATCTTAGGCCATTTTAAAAGTACACATTCCTCTTATTAAACCGTGAAACACATGGAGGATGAAAACATTCTAACAATGGCTGAACTGCCAAGGGTTGCTGTGACCAGTGGCACAAAGTCCTGCTGGATGCCACCACCAATGCCCTCCGGGGCTGTACTGGGGCCATACTGGTTCATGTTTTCACTAACACCACGGGTGACAGGACAGTGCACACTCCCAGCGAGTCGCTCAAAAGGACTCAGCAGGCTGGAGCAACGGGCAAACAAGAATCCCCAGGTTCAGCAAATGGAAGTGTAACATCCTGCACGTGGGGAGGAAGAGACCCATGCACCAGCAGAGGCTGGGGGGCTGACCAGCCACACAACAGCCTTGTGGAGAATGATACCAAGCTGCCCGTGGCCCGCCCAAGGCCCAGCAGTCTCCCAGGGGGCGTTAGGAAGCGCTGCCAGGGAGCTGAGTGAGGTGATTCCCCCCCTCTGCTCAGTCCTGGTGAGACACAACTCATGTGCTGGGTCCAGTTCTGGGCTCCCAAGCTCAACACAGGCATGAGCATACAAGAGCTAGTCCAGTGAAGGGCCACAAAGGTCATTAAGGGACTGAAGGACCTGACAAGACAAGGAGAAGCTGGGAGAACTGGGATTGTCTAGCCTGGAGAAAAGAAGGCTCAGGGGTGATCTTACCTTAACATGTATAAATGCCTGATAGGAGTAAAAAAAGAAGCAGACTCTTCTCAGTAGCATCCAGTGACTGGACAAGAGGCAATGGGCACAAAAGGAAGTACAGGAAGCTCCATTTAAACACAAGAATGGAGCTTCATAGTGTGAGGGGGACCAAAACACTAGAACAGGTTGCCCAGAGATCTTCTGGAGTCTCCATCCTTGGAGATGCTGCTTAAACCTCAGCTTGTCACAGTCCTGAGCAACCTGCTCTAGCTAACCCTCCTCCGAGCAGGTTTGGACTAGATGTTCTCCAGAGTCCCAAAAACCTCAGTCATTCTATGAAAAGGACAGGGGCTTTTGTAGCCCAGGCATTGGATCAACTGAGTCACAAAGCAAACTATAAAATGGAAATGGTATATATTTTCTCTTTAAACTCTTGCATACAGTGTTAATTCTGCTGCCTGCGTTTTGCCGATCTCATTTTTTCAAATCTTGACTCCATTTCTTCCAGGACCTTTGGTGTGTACCGCACAACTAATTTCACCTTCCCTTGAGCTGCCTTCAGCAGTTCTACTGCTTTTTCATGGTGCTCACCTTCAACACTCTGCAAAGAGAAGCCATGAAGTACACTATTAGTAAAGACACACTGAAAGCAGATTTTTTCATCTTTTGTACAATTTCTGTGTAATCAAATATTGACGTATTCTAGTCTGAAGACTGCACAAGGACACCACCCAAGTTCAGAATTTATTCTTCAGCAAATCAGTAAGAAGTGATGATAAATATACTAACTAGTATTGACAAAAAAAGTAGCTCGGTTTATTCTGAACAATTACATTCTGTATTTACATACAGCAAGTGAAATAAGGATAACATGAAGCTATTATGAAATTACACTTAAAAATCAACAACTTCAGGAGGACGCTCATTTAAAATTCAGGATTGTCTCTCTTCTCTTGGCATGCATTTCAAATTCAGTAATCACCCTCAGTTTGCCTATGAAGCTGCCACAGGTAACTGCAAGAGCTCCTTTCTTGATGTTATCCTGTGTCACAACACTGCAAACCAGTGCACACCGGGCACCTGCAACAGAGCAGCCAAGGTGCAGTGCTTTATCTTAGTGCTCCACCTGTCCCCCATTAAACACACAGTACCTAAGTTAATTTCCTCTAAACTCATTAAAACCAGCCTAATCCTGCTCAGTAAGAACAAAATAAAACACTTTCCTACAACAACTCTCAGAATTTATTAAGTTTATATTAGATTAATCCTATTTTAAGGAAGAGTTTTCAACAACTGCACCCAAATACACATTCCTGGACAGCATACATTTTATCAGCAAAACTTATTTCTCTCAAACTGATTAAACACAATGATGGGACTCCCCCAAGCCTACCTCCCACTGGTGCTATTAGAAGCTAGAAGGCAGGTGATGTAACTGTTGATTGGAGGGTTTCCCCATTACTATAAAGTTACTTACAGAAAGAAAGACAACAGTTAAAAAAACCCAAGTTATTTCTCTTCTGTCAGACTCAGACAACACATACATTTGAATGTTTTCATTTTTGTTACTCAAGTGGATGTGTAGGCTCTTCTGTTTCAAAATGGTAATGAAAGGTTTGTGGAGTTCTATGTGTTGTCACATCTAAACACCTCAAATTCTGAAGTACACCCAAAAGTCTCCCGGCTGAAAAAAAAACCCCAAACCTTGTTTTAAGATACATTCACTGCAGCCTTGGCAGCAGCAATTTTTTAAAATGAAATTATTAAATTAGCAATTAAAATTACAAGAAAATGCCTGTCATATGTATTAAGATAACAAGATTCCATCTGTGAGGATCAGAAGGTGACTCTCACTGTACTCCTGCAATGGCTGTAATTGTTTATACATGTGCATGCAGGCACACGCAGTCATTGTTAGCTGTACTGCCTGATGGTCAGCTCCAGGCCTGGGTGGAGTGGGGGATTTGTTTTCTTTAGGAGGGCCTGAGGGTGAGGAAGGTGTCACCTGAAGACAGCTCTGTAGCTGTCCCTCAATGCTTCACAGTAACAGGCTGGCTAAGCCAAGGACAGCTGTGTCACTAGAGGCACGATTTCTCCTGTGCCTCCTGAGGAGGACAGTGGGACTCCCAGGTAACAGCTGGGAGGCAAGTATGTCAGAGATCAGTGCTAGCAGGGGCTTCCCAGAGTACAGACACCCAGGAAGTCTCTAGTCCTTTTGTGTGGCAAAAATAAACCCACTCAGGTTAAACAGCACAGGCTTAACTTCAATCCTCAGTCTCAGCATACAGCTGGGTTTGCAGATAGAATTCACCTTTTCATTGTTACAAGCTAGTGTTCTGCAAATAAAAGCAGAGGTTTGAGATGTCTACATGCATTTGACTGTCAAAGCCTGGCCACAGCCTCCTCTTTCCAGCCACCCTGTGGTTTGCTTTCTGTACTGTAACTCTTCAGAAAAGGATACTTATTAAAAGTAGTCACAACAATACTTTAGATAAACCTTAAAATATGCTATAAAGCCTGTTTTTGAAGCTCAGTGCACTTAAGTGGAAGGAAAAACACCACCACACAACTGAAGATACCACCACCTTGTAGCTCCATCTTATTACAGCTTTCATTATGCAGCAGCATTTTTACTGGGACAACGAGAACCTGGTCACCCTAACACAACGTAGTATAATTAACTACTTACCTTACGAGGTGCAGCAAACTACACTAACTAAAATCTGCATCATGAAATTTGGATGGAAGAGGAAGCCGTAATGGCAGCTACATTTTCACAAAACATTTTGACTAAATTTACATAACTCCTCAGAATCTGAAATGCTGACACAAATAGCACAGGCCCCAGCTGAGACAGATAAAGCATAATCCTGGAGCTCTCGACACACACGGCTGCATAACAACCTAAGCAAGTCGTTCCTGCAAGGACAAAAGGAAACTGTTTTGCCCAAGTCAGCAGAGGAGCTGGAGCCTGTGCCATGTGTATTCTCTGCATGCCCCCACGTGGAAACATGCAGTTACTGCTACAGAAAGCAAAAACCAACTCCTACCACTCCGTTCACGGACAGCAGCTGGTCTCCACGTTTCAGGCCTCCGTGCCTATCAGCTATGCCACCAGGGATGATTCGAGAGATATATATGGGAGAATTTTGTTCTTTGCCTCCCATAATGTTGAATCCAAGACCTTCTTCTGTTTTGGGCAGCTCAACCACTCTGGGATGGGAATGACCTTCACTAGCAGCAAATGCAGCTACAGTGGCCTGCAAAAAATGAGATTTTCCCACTCAGGACTTTCCTACTAAGAAATTAAATATAGATCCCTTAGCTAGACACAGTGAGCAGGCTGAAGAAGTATTTTTAACTCAAAGTACTTAAATATTAAGAGAAATGAGATTAACTCCCTAGATGAAGAATTTAGAACTCCATGAATTAAAATGAAAGAATATTAAAAATAACAAGTCCTTTGTTACACCTTTTAATAACCCATGAGGCTTATCCATTTTATCAGACATCTAGATAATATCTTTCTGTATTTTAAATCATCTTCTTCTGCTTCTGAAGTAACAAACCACTATTTTAGACAAGTGAGAGTTTGGCTTTTACCTTTGCTGTTGCATTAGCTCTAACTTCTGGGCTACTGCTGATATCCACAGTTTCATAGACGTGCTCATACACCTTTAGAGACAAAACAGTTTAAGCAGGGGAAAAATAGATATTTTTCTGCTCAGAGAATATAATAAAAATATCAGGTACAACTCTAAAATGTGTAAATTCAAAAGTACACAACTCTAACAAGTTCTTCCCTGATTTCCTACAAGCTGTCAAACAACAATCTGCCATGCTATAAAGAAACAACTCTCTCAGCACCTTTATCACTCAGTTAATCTATGCACAGCTACATCTCAGCCTAAATCTTCCCTCCTCCCACAGCATCCAGACCTCACCATGACTCCAGAAATGCTTATAGCTAGTCTTAGCACACCTGACTGGAGACATGGGTGACTACCCTTCTTCACTGATTCAAGCTGGAACTCTTCAATAAGGACACATGCAAACTCACATAAGAACAGCTCTTCAAAGCTCCCCCAACAACTCAGCCTTCCTCCAACCCCCCCCCATTTTCCTTCAACAGACTATCTGAAGAAAAACAACAAAACCAGATGCAGCAGAAGAGGTGCTTACACTGAGAGCCAGCTACATCCTCACAGATACCTGCCAACTGTTTGGACTTGCCAAGCAATAAACACACTGTCCTTGACAGGATGAAAGCATTCAGATGGCACCTGTGGCCCCACACAGAGCTTTTAATTCCTTCCAGGTGTTACTGTCAGTGGCAGCACCAACAGCCGTAGCAGGGTTTACTCAATCACCTAAAAATCTCCAAGAGTATCTGGAATGAAGATGAGGTGGTGCAAAGCTCCCCCTCAGCGTGAAGTGCAAGGTAACATGGAATTGGCTTAAAAGAAACAGAGGCAATGGGCACTTTGTCCATTCTTACATTCCAAGAGGATGACAGCCAGCCAGCTGCCAGGAAAGACAGACCTCAAAATAACCCCCAAAAGGTGACTTGTTCCTGAGCCATTATTTAATAAACCTATGATATCCCAAATTATTATCTTTTGAACTTTTAAAATTAAGTCTTGTGCTATTAAGCTCTGTAAATAAAATTCAGGTTTTAGAATGAACCAAATCAGATGATTGCACTGAGCACAAGAAGGAAAAAGTAAAGCCTATGTTTTTAACTCAAGGGAACTGCTTACATCAAGTAACTCACCTCCCTTACAGCATTACAGAATTCACTCTGAAGGACCCTCTGCAGTGCCTGTAGCTTTTGTGGTGGCACCTCTCCACTTCTCTGCAATTTTTCCAGCAACTCAATTGCTCTGCAGATGTCTGCAGAAAAATGAAACACAAGTAATGAAGAATGCCTGAGGAAATTCAAGGTTTGGTTTTTTTTCCAGGTTAAGTTAATGCAGCAGTCTGTGTGCATGTGCGTGCACCTGAATACACCTTAAAACCATGTATAAATTTAATTTCTCCCATAAAACTGCAAATCTACAAAATACTACAATAAACCAGTGTGCTTTCAGACTATTTGTAAGTGAACCACAGGAGCCCAACCCTGTGAAGTACTGCCACATGTATATTAAAAAGACAACTTGATTTTTCCTTGAAGGTTAAACCAGGCTGAAATATTTAATTTGATATACACACTACCAACATTTCAGATGCATAACTTCATGATTTATCTACTTTATAGATATATCATTAAAAACAACTAGAATATTGTCAAGTATGCTGTCTAACATTCCTTTTATCATGAAAACATCAGTTCAACAAGAATATATTCAATACCTTCCCTACAGCAGAGTCTGTTTTTTCCACCCACCAAAGTGCTTAGAGAAACAACCACAATCCTTTTGATATTCTCAGGTGAGAAAGAACATATCTGGAGTCTAGAATCCTCAACCACAAACATCTTTGTTTCAGTACTTGGAAAAATTGTTCCTAAGAATTCATGTTGTCCATATCCTCATAAATGCAAATGGGGCTTTGTGAAGGATTTGAGTCCAGACAGGCATTAAACGTTATGTGACATGCTCCCAGCAGCTCCACAAGAGCAGAATCCATTCATACCCCTCACTGGCAGGTCCAAAGTGTGACATTAGTGATGACTCTGAATCACACAAGTCTTTGAACAGAAGTAGAACAGTGTCAGAAAAGCAGAGAGAAAGGATTACCTTCATTAGCACACAGGGAAAGCAGCAGTTGTTCATCTACTAGAGAAGTAAGGCACAGATTATTTTAGAAAAAGATGAAGTCTGGGACACTGCTATATCCTGTCCTGAATGCATTACTTCTTTCTGTAATGAACCTTTAGGACACCATTTCTCACATGAATGCATGTCTGCTCAACAGCATCAGGTCACTGCAGGAGATGTGCAGTAGCCACCAACTTCTCCCAAAGGCCAAGGTTGAGAAGAGAGAATTTACATAACAGGATGAAAAGACTGTGTTCTGAGATGAAGGTGAGGAGCAGTGGTGAGAGACAACGCTCCACAATCTGTCCACTCCCATCCACTGTCAGTCAGACACGTCTTACTGATTCCACAGTGGTGCAGTCCACTGACACTGAACCTACTGGAGGCCCACAGGCTGGGCACAAATCCTTCATGAAGAACATCCACCTGCCATCAGGACAGCCACAAGACACAAACTATTTCAGATGAGAGTTAAGGTTTCCACGTGCCATGAGAACTATGTCTTCTGTATTTCATTTAACATACAAAATAGTTGGTGAAATTAGGCTATGGATGTGATTAATTATTAATCTTCCAATCATTTTCTGACAGAAAATCACCAAGATTCTTAGTAAATCTTGAGTTCAACAACAGAAGTACAAATTATCTTAATTTCATGAAGTCCTGCTGAACAGCTTTAAGTAGAATACTCAACAAATAGCAACAAAAAAATGCTGTTGCTATTTGGAAGCAACTCTCCATATATTAATGAAAAAAAAAAAGTAGCAAATATGTAAATGACAATACAGGTCTCAAATCCTTGCAGGTGTTTGCAGACACAAGGCTGTGTCATGTAGACAAGAAGTGCAGTTCTGCATGGCCATTCCTGAGTCCATGGTCTGCAAACCACGTTAAGCTGTGAGGTGTACCAACCTGTTACCTGACCACTTCATTAGGATGCTGCAAGAAATGTTAAAGGGTTACAAAAAAACAATCTACTGATCCAAAGAGGTGCAGCAGAAACGAAGACTCCAGAACTCTGATTGCTAATTTTTTTTTTTTTTTTTTTTAACCCCTGTGTTTCATCAATCCACTAGATACATTTCCTACCTGGATCTCATAACAGATGAAAGGTTTAACTACAGAGCATTTCATAACCTAAGGTGAAACTGGCTAGTTTGGGAACCAGCTGTGTCTTTCATAAAGCACAGACTAAGAACACAATCACCTTGTCAAAAAGTGACTGGGATACATTGAACTGGATTCCTTTTAGATAAAACTAAAGCAGAAGATGCACTTGAATAAAAAAAAGGCTTTCAGATCAAAGGATCAAGCTGCAGTAAAGTGAAAACCCAAAGCAGCCAAACCCAGCACGGAAGCTGGGTCCTCAGCACTCCACACATCTTTTCTCACACTGGAACTCCTGCTCAGGTAAATACAGGCAACAGATCTCTTTACCAGGACACTTTTTCCCCAGCCATGTTTTGTTTTCCCTTGGTGACAGGACTCCACTGTCTCAGTCAGAAAGGGAAGCGTGTGTAGCTTTCTGCTGCTGAACTGCATGAGGCACCACGAGCCAAGAGCTGCAGATGCAATCTCTCCCAGCAACACTGCTCTGGAGAGGAACTAGTCTGGCTGGGGAAAAGTGCCAAAACCCACCTTTCACTGTCAAGAAGAGATCATGAGCTGCTCTGCTGGTTTAATTTGCTCCACCCTGCTTTGGCTATCACCCACTGAGAGGTGACTTCCTCACAACACTAACACACCAGCTTAGGCAGCTGTTCAGCACCAGAGATTGAGAGGAACACTACAGAACTGTTTCAGGGATGGATTTCAGTGATGGATACAAGGATCAATGTAGAAGTAACTCCAGAGACAGATGATTAACAAACCCATAAAAGTTATTGTTAAATGGAATCTACACATGGCTAAAAAACAATTTTCTTTTAACCTTTTCATCCTTTCTGCATCAGTTGCCTGTTTTTCACAAATCATATATTTATTGTGAAGAACAGGTTAGTAGGTTGAAGCCCTGAAAAAAACAAGATCCACTTAAACTGAAAGAACGTAGAAGAAATCTGGGAAGACACCACTGCTCTGAGCATCCTGCAAACACAACCCAGAAGGAAGAAAAATGCAGTTCCCTCACAGGTAACGGCTGATTAACCACCTCTGCTGCTTGTGCTAAAACAGTCTGGATTCCTAAGGTGTAGCCAGAGTCCCCAAACATCCCACCCAAACCAAAAGAACACCCTGGAATCGTTATATGCTGCTCCACCCCTGCCTTCCAGCCAGCCTGGGTGGTGGTGTCTGCAGGGCAGCTTGGAGGAGAGAACAGACAGGGAGAATCTTCCATAGCCCTGATGGCAAGCCCATGGAGACCATTTTAATTCAGCTCACTTTCTACACTCTTCTCTCTCTTCTTATGCTATAGGCCAAGAACATCAGTGAAGTTCACTTTCAAGCTGATGACAATTCATCACCAGGTTACCTGCGGTTAACTCCACACAATTAACAGAGGTTATTTATTTCTGCAGATGAAGCTCTTGCTTTTGTAGGTCCATTATACTACACTTCCTTTTTCTTCTGTTTCTTGCAAAGACCGATATGCCAGAAAACTAAAAAGCTCCTTTGTCCTGCTGCTCCCTAAGGAGATTTGTTTGTTTTCATGGACAGAGCATAACAGCTGGGTAATGAGGTGGAGAAGGATCCTGCCTGAGGTTTAACTCCACAGATCTACCAAGAGCAACTAATCCAGTGCCAAATCAGCTGCCCTAATTAAGAAGCTTTGGAGCAGGGAGGGCAGATGAGCTGTGAGCTGGAAGCAAAGTCCTTACGTCAGTCACCGTTTGAAGCTTCCTCTCACTCAGTACAAGTGGTTCACTTGTGGAAGGGGAAGGAGGGCTAGGCAAAAAGAACAACTGAGTTCCATGGCAGATAATCTGTGATAGTACCTGACACAATAAACAGCATGTTACCCAACTGCAAAAAGGCTCCTAGCACTGTGAGCAAAGGTGGTGCTCCCAACAGGAATGGCATTGGGAACAGTTGGTTTATCCAACCACCTACACTCCACTTAACTGCTTCCCTTTTCAGAAGCAAGATTTCTCATTCTCAGTATTTTTTTCTCATTTAAACTCCGTTTTCCAACCCCTATTTTCCTAAACAGACACTAATTAACAAATCAGACATACTGTTGTACAAGCATGTGTTCACTGGGCTATGGTAGATCTTGCACAGTTCTGAAGAACGACCCTGAAGCAAGTTCATCATTGGTTCTTAGAAGGCTTGAATAAGAGACACACATGTACTACAGAGAAAATACCAAGAAAATAGGGTTTGTATTTTTCTGTTTTCCTAGTAATTCTAGTTAAATGCATGTGCAGCATTGACAATACAAATACAAACTAGAAAATCGGGATGAAAAAATCAACATGAGAAGGTAACAGAACTGAGCAGCACCATGAACAAGTGCAAAGGGATGCAAGCACCAACAATCTTCCATAAAACCAAGTAAATTATTATCGCTAAGGCACAGCATAACACATTGGACTTAAAGCTAAGAGTCCAGGCATTCAAGAGCAGGTTTTCCCAGGAGAGGAAGAGAAACCAGAAGTAAGCAGGTTGGGCGCAGAGCCCGAAGAAGCGCTGACAGCTACAGAAGCTCTGGGGCGAGCGCAGCCACGGGAACCCGGCCCG